GAGCGGGAGAAGAAGAGGTTTTAGGGTAGGAGCATCACTCCTGATTCAGTGCAAAACTTCTTTCAAGAAGAAAGTTCAACCAGGGAGCAACTGGACCCACTCTCCATGCACATGGCTCACCTGGGCTGCCAGTCAGAGCTCAGGGATTTGGTTTTTCTGTCATCTCCAATTTCGTGTCTATAACAGGTAATTTAGTATAAATAGAAATTTCCCTTTATGGCAGGTGGAACCTCCTTCCACTGATTCCCATGGCAATCAGATGAGGGAACAGTTCTGTTTTAAGTGAAACTCAGGGCACCCATGCCAGCCTAGAGCAATGATTTTAGAGCTGGTTTCAGTGGTGAGGCTGCTGTTACCTTCCCTTTACCTATTGTTTGTATCCAAACCTAATTGCAAATTGACATGAGCGGTCTTTGAGGAGCTGCTGCTCCATCAGCACAATGAGTCATTGTTGAAATGGCCACAGCAATTTTCCAGGTTAATTTATGGCTGCCACACCCCATTAGCAGCAATAAATGTGGAGCCCGGTTTTGCCGAAATTGTGAGTTACGATTTTTCAAATAAATACATTTTCCTATAAACCAGCTCTCTGTTTAGTTTGAATGTTCCTCACAGACACATCCATCTACATAAAATACACAGGAGAGGAAGCTGAGCTGTGACTTTGCTCTGATGACATAAAAATTTTTGTAAACACAATGTCACTTACAGTACTAGCAAAGAGAGAGCCCAAAAAATAAACAGCGAGTGCCTGGCCCATCCCTTCAGGAGCACATGGAAAATTTAATACTTTTTTCCGTAAAGTTTTGTTTTCCTTTTGATTTATCCACGCAAGGCAGTGGCTGTTTGGCCATAAATAGATGGTATTTCTTGAGGGGCGATGGTTGCAGTCATCCTGTGTGTCGCCACGGGGGCGGCACAGGAGGCGTGTGGACAGAGAAGATGCTGTGGGTGCTGGGAACAGGAATATCCAGGCACAGCCCTGTGTTCACCCCCAATTCCTGCTGCTCCTTCCGTGGGGCTCTGACAGACTGAACCCCACTTGGGGTTGCTCCTGTGGTGTTGGTGCAGGATCAAGCAGCCCAGCGATGCAGTCAGGGGGACTCAGGCAGTGTGCGGGCACAGGAGAGCACGGCCAGCAGCAAACGTGAGCTCTGCTGCACCCCAGCACCCCTCACCCCTCTGAAACCCATCCTGGCACAGCAGGACACGTGTGGCAAGCCCTGCTGGGGAGGAGGGAATGCCCTGAGTGGGCTTTTGCAGCCCAGCCTTGGCTGCGACCCCAGAGCTGACTTTGTTGCTGATCAAACTGACTTGATTCCGTTCACTTCTGCAGGTTCTTTCGCTCCTCACATTGCCAGGAGGAAAATAATCCCCCAGAGAAGCTCTCTGCAGCTCTCCTTGAAGCAGACTCTGGTCATGCCTCAGTTTCCCAAGGGTTTTGCCACCGTCCCCCGAGGCCTCTGAGAGCAGAACTGTTAGGAAGGTGCTGAGTGATTATTATTGCATTATTTCAGGCAAGTGCTATAAATACCCAGGGGCACCTTTAGACACAACCCAGCTGCCCAGGGGAGCTGGCTCAGCCCTGCTCTGCGCCTGCAGTGGCTGAGGAGGGGATCGAAGGCAGTGCCTGAGGGAGGAGGTACCCTGGGGATACCTGTTGGGGGACATGGTGTGGGGCTGTGGGGTGACAGGGCTGGGACCCTCCTGGCTGCACTCTAGGGCTTCAGTGGAGCTTGGGGTGGGGGGATGTGGGTGCAGCAGGGTGCAGCAGGGTGCCGGGATGCTGCAGGGAGACGCTAACAAGGAAGACAAGGGGAATATTTTACGGGGCTGCAATGTAAACAGAGCTGGAGCAGAGCCCCTTTTTATGGAGTCCCTGTCCTGCCAGGGCATCTGCCAAGGCCCTGATTTACGCTCCTATTTAGATAAGGGAGCCGGAGGGGGGGAGCAGAGCTGGCGTCAAAGTCACAGGACACCCGGGGCTGCCGCTGGCCGGGCGCTGATAAGGAGGTGGCTGGGGGGCCAGGGCCAGAACCTCAGCTCCCGTCCCAAAAACGGGGATGGGTGCACAGCTTGGTGCCTCCTGCTGCGTTTGGGGTGCTGGGGTTCTCAGAGACCTGGGATAACCTCACTCCCAACATGCAGCATTGGCCCCCTCACCATCATCGGCCCGTGAGGGCAGGAAATCTTTCTCTGGGAAGGATTTGAAGGAAAACAGGTGGAGTGAAACGTGGGTCCTCCTGCCGTGCCAGGCATAAATCGCCTAATCCAAAGTGCTCGGCGTTTTCTCCCCCATGTGAGTGGAGAGATGTGAAATTAAAGGAACTCACCAAAAGTTTGAGAAGTGCTAAATTTGGACGCCATGACAAAGGCAGTCTGGTTTGATTTAGAAGGTGTCGGCATGAAAAGGGCTCTGGTTTTATTATTTTATTAAAACACGAAATATTAGAATGATTTTCCAAAGGAAAATCAACCCTCTGGTCCCACTATTTGCTCAGCTGAGCACTTCCAAACGCTGCGGGGTCCAGGGACCTCCATCAGGGGGTGGATTAAGCAAGATAATGCCCAGCTTGGGCTGGACTTACCTGGCTTGGCAGCTGGAGGTGACTCTGGTGCATGGCTCAAGGCGACAGCTCCCAGCTGGATGTGGCTGTAAGTGCCTGTGCAATGCAGGGCTGTGGGGATGAAAGGGGCATTTTCGGGAGCTACTTCTAGAGCTGGATGGCACAGAATCTAACCTGGCAGTTGGCAGGACTGGGGAGAAGCTCAGCGAGGAGCGTGGATGGCTTGTAAGAGGAGCAGGGCTCCACAGGTGATGCTCTGCCAGCATAGGGGGGGTTGAGGCATGAAGTTGGACCCCTGAATTCTCCCAGGTGAGCACTGGCTCACATCAGCTCTGAGCCGAGCTCGGGGATCCCACCCAGCCACGGCTGTTTTGAAGGAAATCGGGGACACGACGCCCTACCCTACCCAAGGCCTGGCTCTAACGGGAGAGTAATCACTAGCAAATGTTTGCAGGGCGCTTGTTTAAAGGGGGTGGGGAAGCGGGGTCTTTGCAGCATCTGAGAACAAAGCAGGGGGGAACAAAGCTGGGCAGATCCGGCACGGCCGCTCCCCCCAGCCCCGGCAGAACCGGAGACCTGCTTGCACCCTGCCCCGGCCCCCCCAGCCTCCTGCCTTTGCAACTCGCCTTGTAACAACTAACGATGGAAAATCCGAGGCATTTAAGTGGCTCCCGAATCCGCCCGGGAACCGTGATTGAGAGAAGTCAAATAAAATTTGTCATCTTTAAAATGCAGGAGGACGTTAATGGTGTGTTAGCCCGGATGATTAATACAAGCGCCTGCAAACAACCCTCCAACGTTTCCACCCTCCGCTGCAAGATGAATCGCTGGAAAGCGCCGCTAATCGCTAACATACCTTGGGCCCAAAGCCCCTTCCTGCCCCGCCGTGCTGTGAGCACCACGGCCGTGCCCAGCCTGGGACTCACTGCAGCAAGAGCAGGGGTCAGCCCCAATGTCACCCAGCAGGGTGAAGCCCTGCCTCTGGGAGACATCCTTCTGGGGATCTGTGTCCCGTGGGTGCAGAGGCGAGCAGGATGGGCTGCCCACTTCAGGGCCCCACCCTGGGCTTGGGTTTCGGGCTGTGGTGATGTACAAGATCCCAGCCCCAGAGGGTCCCCCCAGCCCTTTTGTGGCCAGGCTGGGACAGAGAAACGCAGGGCAGGTCCCCACCTCCCTACTGTAAATACATTTGTATGCATGGACAGTATCATTTTTATATATTTATATATCTATGCAGCGTCTGTGCAGGGATGAGCAGCACGCACACGTGTGCTTATAAGCCATGCATGTGATAGGTGAGCATGCCTCACGTGTGTGTGTGTCATATACATTACATATATATTATATATCCGTATAGAATGACATTGTGGTGCAGCGCATCCGTGCTGCTGGGGTGTGTAACATACAGGGGCACCCGTGTGTGGCGTGTTTGTGGAGTGTGTGTACAGCACAGAGTTGTGTGGTGCATGCAGCATCTTTGTGGTGCATGGGCAGCGTGTGCAGTGTGTTTGCGTGAGCAGCAGCGCATGGTGCAACCAACACCAGTGCAGTGTGGATTTGTGCATTGCACAGCGTGGGTGTGTGCTGTACACGCGTGCAGTACACAACCCTGTGCAGCTGTGCCACGCACGGACCAGGCGTGGGCCAGGAGCCCCCTGTGCAAGGAGGGAGCCCACACCCCATCCCTTCCGCCCCCAACCGCAGGGGTGCCCGGCCCGCCTCACTCCGATACCTTCTCCCCCTTTTCTCCCCATCCCCCGGCTCCCGCGGCTCCGAGTGCGGCCCCGAGCGCCCCGCAGTGCCCGCCCGGCCCCGCCGCGCTCCGCTCGCACGGAACCGAGCCTGTCCCGCATGGTTGGGAAGGAGAGTCCCGGGGAACTGCGGCCCCGGAGCGAGCACACGGCCCGGCCCGGCCCGGCCGTCGGGGTCCGGACAGCCGCGCTCCCCCGGCCCGCTGCCGGCTCTCGGGGGGCTCGGACACCCCCGCCCCGGCAGCGGGAATCGAAGCGCTCCGGGACGGGGGTGGGGTACCCCTCGGTTCTTCTTCACCCCCTTCTCTCTGAAAGCGAGGAGCAGGCGGGACCGAGGGCAAGCGGCGGAGGTGTGAGCCTAAACCCCCGAGCCCGGCGCACGCCCCCTCCGCCGCTTCGCTCCCCCCGGGGCCTCCGCGCATCCTCCCCTGCCCATTGGCTCCACGGCGGGGGGGCCGCGGCCCTATATAAAGGCAGGGTCGGGAGGCTCCAGAAGGGGTTAAAAAAACCCCAAACAACAAACCCAAAACCCCAAACCCCGACCGCCCCACCCCAAACCCCACAGCCGCCTCCGCCACCGGAGCCGCGCTCCCCGCAGCCCGCGGCGCCCGCCCGGCGGGGAGCGCCTCCCGCCCGGCCATGGAGCGCTGCTGAGCGGCCCCCGGGGCCAGCGGAGCGGATCATGAACCTGGTGGGGGGCTACCAGCATCACCACCACCACCACCATCACCACCACATGCTGCACGACCCTTTCCTCTTCGGGCCGGCGGCGCGGTGCCACCAGGAGCGCGCCTACTTCCCCGGCTGGGTGCTCAACCCGGCCGAGGCGACCCCCGAGCTCGCCGGGCAGAGCCCTAGCTACGGCCCCGCCGAGTACGGCCCGGCCGGCCCGGGGCGGCTGGAGGCTCTCAGCGGCCGCCTGGGACGGCGAAAAGGTGTCGGGGGTCCCAAGAAGGAGCGGCGGAGGACGGAGAGCATCAACAGCGCCTTCGCCGAGCTCCGCGAGTGCATCCCCAACGTGCCCGCCGACACCAAACTCTCCAAGATCAAGACCCTGCGCCTGGCCACCAGCTACATCGCCTACCTGATGGAAGTACTGGCCAAGGACAGCCAGCCCGGGGACACCGAGGGCTTCAAAGCCGAACTCAAGAAGGCGGACGGCAGGGAGAACAAGAGGAAAAGGGAGACGGTAAGAGGCGGATCGGGACTCGCGTCCTTGCTTTCCGTGGGCCAAGAGCCGGAGGGAAGAACCGCGGGGCTGGGGGGGAGAAAATGCTCTAAACTCTCTCGGCCTAGCTGAAAACTTTTTTCCCAGTACAATAATAATAATAATAATAATAATAATAATAATAATAATAATAATAATAATAATAATAATAATAGTAGTAGTAGTAGTAGTAACAACAACAACAAAAAAACTGTGCTGTGGAGGGAAACTCGTCGAAAAACATCCCGCCCGAAGGGCCGGGTGGGCTTCCGAGCACTTTCCGCGAGGGATCAGCCCCCGGGTCCGGGACTGGCCGTGGCGGAGCCTCCCCCGGTCTGTCCTTCCCCTCTCTGGGAGCTCTCCCAGGACGAACGGGCGCAGGAGCGATTCGGAGCAAGGGCGGCCGCTTCTCCCCGTGTTGCAGCAGGCGGGTGACGGGGTGGGGACCCCTAAAACCCCTCTTTGTCCTCGGGTTGGCGAAGCCGCTCGGAGCTGCGGGGCCCGGCTGCAGCCCTGCTGCGGGTGCAAGGGGCGGGCGGGCGGCCCGGGACCCCGCTCCGTTCCTGACCGCTCCTTTCTCCCTCCTTTCCCCATCTCCTCTCCCGCAGCAGCCCGAGGTCTATTCGCATCCTCTGGGTCACGGCGAGAAGAAGTTGAAGGGCCGGACGGGTTGGCCCCAGCAGGTCTGGGCTCTGGAACTGAACCCCTGAGAGCTGCCCCGCCGCCGCTCCCCGCCCGCCCCTCCATGTGCAATGTCGGAGAGAGCCCAGCCCGGCCCCGGAGCCCCTCCAGGGGCAGGATACGGGGAGCCAGCCCGGCTGCCCCCCGCCCGGACGGATGCTGAGCGGGAGAAAGGCGAGAGCGCTTTGCGGGTGCGGGTCCTGCTCGCCCCGTCGGCAGCGGGGTCCAGCCGGGCCCTTTCCCCCTGTCCCCTCCCGAATTTGCAGTATTCGTTGCTCCATCCCGCTGCCAGCAGCCACCGGCTGCTCCTGCCCTGCCGGGCCGGACTGGAACGGTTCGATTCGTTTGCTATTGTAAATAGGAGCCCCCGATCCCCTGTCCCCGTCCGCTGCCTGACCGACGTGTGGCTGCGGTGAAACTACCTAGAGGTGCATTTGGGAACACTCCTGTGCCGGGTTTTCTACCTCAGATCTGCATGACCACTTCCCGAGGGACCGAGCGCGCCACACCACGTATTTAAAACTGAATAGCTAAACAAAAAAAAAAATCTAATAAAATAAAATTTAAACTTTATGCAAACGGCCTCGGGTCCGAGCCCTCTGCTTTCTCCTGCTCCGGCAATCGCGCTGCTCTGGCCGGGTCCCCTGTGCTGCCCACTGGGATGCTGCGGGATTAAAGACATCCCTGAAGCCAGTACTCTGCTGTGGGGCCGATCCTTGTGAGGGAATTCCTCCTTGGGGAGCTCGAGATGCTTTGAGACTTGTTTATGCCGACCTTGCTCGCAGCAGGAGCTGGTGGAGCTCTGCAAACGCGTACCCGCAACCTCCTCCAGGGCACGAACTCTGCCCCTGCCCTACAACCCCTTTCCTCCCTACCCAGGAGACCTGCTAGAGGGACTGGACTCGTATTTGGCTTGGGGAAGGATGGCAGGATCAGGTCTTTACAGCGTCTGGATGGCACCAGAGGGCTGTGGAGCCCCAGGTTTTATTGCTGCCGTGCAGAGAGCCAGGGCTCCGCTCCCGTGTCCTGCCGGAGCAGCAGGGATTTCTCACAGGGATCCCCTGTTAGGCGCTGCCTCGGCCACATTTGGAAGGAGCAACGTCCCCTCCTCGAACACGATGGATGCCACCAGCCCCAGACACAGCAACACAGCCCAAATTCTGTCACCACTCAGGTATAAATCCTTCACAATCCTTAATAATGAAAGCCAAATCCTCATCACTGTGCACACACGGTGCTCTTACCAAAGAGTTCCAAGACGTGCGTGCATGGGCTCAGAGCCTGATCCTGCCTTCCCAGCCTGGCCACGCTGCCGCTCCCAGAGACACCGGGATAAACCCTGACACTCGTGCTCGGGGCAAAGAAAAACAGCACGGGAAAACGTGTACATTACTCTAGGGCTAATCTGGGGGCTCACAGCAGGGACATTTGAATTTTCTGTTTGAAACCAAGCTTTTGATTGCGACTAAAGGTACAGAACTAATGATGCAACGTCTGTAAAATACTGACACATTGATCAATCTGTGTTTGTGCAGCCACACGCACCAAGAATACCCCAGCTCAGCCGTGGGGAAGCAGCTTGGGTTTCATAACCACTTTGTGCATGTGTACAAACACAGACGGAGGGACACACAAACAGTGGGGGGTACAACCAGTCGTGATTAACTCTCGATGAAGAGGAATCCGGCTGAATGAATCAGCTCTCCCTCGCTCCAGAGCCGCTGCACCGCTGCCTTCCCTGTCCCTGATCTATTTTCTGATCCCTTTGAGCGAGGTTGAGATGAAAATTGACTGCCAGAGAAGAGCAATGTCTGCCCGCAGTGGTACTTTTTTTGTTTGAGCTATAAGAAGCTTAGCATGATACCACTTACATGAGTGGAGTAGAGTAGAGCACTCCCAAACCTGTACGCATTCAAGGGGAAAAAAAAAAGAAGACGTACAGAAAGTCAGCCCCAAAGATCCTGTTTTATGTCTAAGTTTCAGTCACCTAAAGGCTGGGTTCTTACAGGAAAGCTCCCAAGCTGTCACTAACACTAATCCAGCGCCCCATGAATGTGTGCAGGCGCAGCCCTGTTCATACGTGCCGGCCGGTGTATCCATACAGTGTCCATACAGTATCCATACAGCACAAGCGGGGCTACCCTTCGGCAGTGGATGAGGGAAAGGGTTAACTGGGGACTCGGCACTTGCTCTGCTGTGAGGCAAAGGTGACTGTGCACGGGAATCGTGTCCTCGGTGCCACCACACCATGGTACATCGCTGGTAGCCTGCGCACCTCTCACCTCACCAAAAAACTCCGCTGGTTTTTACCTTACGTGTTTCAAATTTTGCTTCTGGGAAGGGACACCCCGCACAGCCAGGGCGATGCTCTGCCTGCATCCGCAGGATTTTTTATTTTCTTACCACAGGTTTCTGATGGCGGTACCTGCTGGCTACAAACTTCTGGGGAAGGTGTCCCCAGTGCCAGCCCCCCCCTGTTCCTCGGGCTTTTGCGAGTGAAAGCGCGCTCCGTTTCCACGGCTGCAGAGGATTTTCCTGCCCAGCAAAGGGGTTTTCCTATGAGGTAGTGGCTCAGCATTTGGGGGGAGAGAGGGTAAAAAAAAGCACTAAACATTTCCTGTAGCCCCGGGCTTCCCCGCTCCCTAAAAAGCTTTGGAAGAGCTGCAGTTGCAAGCAGCGAGCTCCCAGCTCGGCACCGCTCAGGAGGTTCCGCCACTCCGGGGTCGGGAAGGGAAATTGAGCTCCCAGCCCATCGCCTGTTCCAGCCTCGGATGGGGTCACCCCTTCACCCCCAGAGAGAGAGAGAAGCTGCAGGGGGATGAGAGCCCCGCACAGGGACAGCCTCCCTTCCTCAGGCAGCGAGCCAGGGCTGGGAGCAGCGTCCCGGCAGCAGCGGCAGAGCTCCGGATGCCGCCGGCACCAGAACTCACTGGAAGAACGGTTTGGCCACCAGCTTGGAGGTTTTGGCTATCGAAGCGCCTAGCTCATCGGTCAGGGGAGGTGGCCCTGCACATACCTTCGGCTCGACCCTGCCGTGAACTTGATGCCGTTGGGAAGCAGCTGGCTCGGGGCACGCAGGCGGGGGCCGGCAGTTGCCCGGGCGGAGGAACACGCACGCAGGGATCGCTTGGCCCCGGGGCAGCATCTTACGTGCCAGGCTCCCTGCCGCTGCAATCCGGCCACGAGGGACACTGCAGGGGACACTGCTTGGCCCTGGCTCCCTGTCTGGCCACGGAGGCAATGCTGTGGGCAAGGAGGCTGTGGGGCGCTTCCCATCCCTCGCTCTGCACCCCTGGTTTGGTGTGCAAAGCAATGGCTCCTTTTTTGACATTTTCTTTTTTTTCCCCCCTCCTCCTTTTCTGCCGAGCCCAGACCCTGCTTCTTGTTGTTGTAGGTATTTATGGGCCTGTTTATCTGATCTCGGGGGAGCCTATTCTTATCTCAGAAGCAGCAAGGGAAGGGTTACACTGGACAGCTCGGTAGACAGGATGGAGCCAAATAAAATACCAATCTGACAAAAAAGAAAAAAAGGGGGAGGAAAGAAACACCCAGACCCAGCCACCCGATCACCCATGAGCACTGTCCAGGCTGCAGTCTGGATTTGCCAGCTCCCAAAACAGCTGCTGGATTCAGGCAGACAGCACAACCCTGGGCAAGAAATGCCCAGGGACAGAGCAGAGGAGAGGGCGGTGTAATGACGCTGAAAGATGGGAATTAAAATGAATTTGAAAAGTTTCAGGTCGGTTGTTACGGCAGTTCAGCTGCCATGCTGCTGTCCCGTGTTTCTCGGGGTGAACGCGGAAATGTCCCAGCTTGGAATGAGAGGCACAGCCCGTCCCCAGCCCTTGGCAGGGACTCACTCGAGGTCGTCCCGAAGGTCACGGCCAGGGCCAGGGCTGCTGCCTCCCGTCACGGGGCCCCTCTGGGCTGGCCCCAGCCGGTGACACAGGGCTGGGGGCGGCAGGGGGCAGGGCAGCCCCCAGCCCGGACATCACAGTGGCCCCACCTCTGCCCGGCCTCCGCGGAGCCCAGAGGTGCAGCAAGGATGGGATAGGAGGGGATGGGGCTGGATGGGATGTCCCCTCCCGTCTTGGGAAACAAGGGAGCGAGGGCAGCCTCATGCCAGGGGTACCCCCAGTCCTTGCCCCCTCCCCATCCCACACCCCACTAATTGCCGCTCTTAAGGAAGCGCCTGGTAGTTGTGGCCATTTAAGGTAGCCCCAGCCCCTCGGAGTAAGGGTAATTGGGCCATAATTTGTTTTCGGTGTCAAGATGGCGTCAAAGATAAGACAAAAATCTCCAGGTTTGGGGGCTAAAGAGACAGGAGAAATCCTGACCCGGGGTCGACCTCGGAGGAATGGCCACAAGCCCCAGTGAGTCACATGGCAGGTGAAAGATTTACTGCCAGGGGAGCTTTTTGATCCTCTCCCAACACTTGGAGCCTCTGAGGCCAGTTGCTGGCTCCTAAGTCAGACTGTCTCCTGGGAGCACTGCTCAGGTGGGAAGGTTTTCTGCCCCACCGAGGCCCTGCCCAGCTGCAGAGTTCATGACATTCAATAGTTCTTCCTCAAATCTCCACGCTCCTCCAGTCACGTGAGCCCATCTGAAGAGACCATGCATTTCTTATCCATAGCTGTGGGAATGATGTTCAAGCACGGGAAGACTCTGCAGCCATAAGGGTTTTTTTTATTATTTATTTTATTTTTTTTAAATTTTATTTTCCAAATAAAAAATTTCCAAAATTTCCAAAAAAATTTTCCAAATCAAATTCAAACTCTGGGTTTTCACCTCTGTGGCAGCTCCTGCTTGGCTCTGCTTTCACTGAGCTCTGTTCAGGGTAAATTTTTCCATGCAGCTGCCTTCATTGGGAAAAAACCAAGAACCCTGCACCTTGGGCCAACCTTCCCAAGATCATCCTTCAAACAATGGACAAACTCATCATCCATCCCACATTCCTACCTCTCCAAAGTCAACCTGCATTGCTTCTTTAATCCATGAAGGCTTTGTCCAGTGCAGAGGACTGGGAGACCCAGAGCTTTCT